ATATTTAGACAGACTTAAAGAAGTTCCAGATCTATACTTGTGCTCTTATTGTTTCAGTTATTTTGCCTTTAATGTAAATAAACATGTGCAAACAATATACTTGCTCTTGTTAATTTATTTTGATGTTAATTACATTGTGCAAGCTGTCTCTTTAATACCCTGTGGTTTATATACATGTTGCTGCTGATTGGGCTGACATTTTTGACACACCCACCAAACAAGAGAAAACATATCTCAAACCCTGTTGCACACCGTTTCCAGGAAACATGTCGTTCAACCCGGAAACCGTAACAAAACGTTGCGCACCTTTGAGCGTGAACGTGCCCCTGGTCACCATAGTGATTTTGGTGGGGGCGTGGCCTCGCAGAGTCACGTGACTCTTTCTCCAGCGAGCCCTCCAGACCCAGTGTCGTTGGTCGCGTCGCGGTTTGAGCTGAAAGATGGCCGCAGTGGAGCAGCGCCCGCCGGCGCGGGAGGGAATTCGGATCGCGGTGCTGTGTATGTGCTGGTACACCGTCAGCTCTGGTGGCAACGTGGTCAATAAAATAATCCTCAACGGCTTCCCCTATCCGGTCACGGTGTCTCTCTTTCATATACTGTCCATCATCGTGTTTCTCCCGCCGCTGCTGCGAGCCTGGGGCGTCCCGCGAACGGAGTTACCGGCCCACTACTACCGCTGGTTCATTCTGCCGCTCGCCTTCGGGAAATACTTCTCCTCGGTCTCGGCCCATTTCAGCATATGGAAGGTTCCGGTGTCGTACGCGCACACTGGTGAGTATCGGGAGCCTTACGGTTTAGCGACTTTGTATTACAGGCCTTATTCTTCGAACTCAATTCAGACCCAGGCTGATCGGATAGGTTCGGTTTAGCTCGGCTCGGTTCGTTTAATCGAGTTTGAATCGCCGTAGGTTATTCATTTATCGCTGTCTGTCGTTAACCACAAATCTCAGCCGTGAAATCAAACTGCGTTTCCCATTTAAACCTCCACTTTCATCCAAACATTAGGAAACAAATCGTAATATGGATTTAATGACTCACTCGGGTCATTTTTCTACGTCCGAGTTTTGATAACTACACTTTATTGAAGTAGTCCCAGAGTACGTCACTTCCGCACTCCTAATAATACTGCCACATCATCCACCTGCGTGTAATACAGACTGGTCTAGTTTGGGAAGCTTCAGTTCCTTTTGTTTACATGACCTCCATTATTATCAAACCCTGCGGTAGTATTAAAAACCCTGATAGTGAAAGAAGCATTCTCTTCCAAATGTACAATAATAGAATATTAGCAGAGTAGAACTGTACATAAAGACATGAAATGTGTTTTTGTTTTTTTTGTTTTTTACAAACGTTCAAAAAAAGAAAACTTGAAAGATAAGTTAGGACTTAGTAGTAAATTATTGTTTGAAAAGTCACACAGTGACAAGTGGTGTCCTACAATGTGACATGTTATTCTCATTTAAAACTGTTTTAACCAGTATATGTAGTGTATTACGCAGGATGTTTTAATGAGCTCTTTCAAGTTGTCATTTTTATCTACTTTTTATTTACTTGTGTGGGTCTATTCATTTTATAATCAATTTAATCAAACTTGTATCATAATTTGAAGAAGAAGAAAAAAGAACACGGTGAGATGATATTGAATTGTAATTCGCCAAACCTGGAACTACTTCAGAGGCATGCAGGTACTATAAAATACTCATTTGTCACACTGCAGTATCATTTAGAACAAACTAATAGAAGTATTATAATAGAAAAAAATACGCTTTCATTTATGCGTTCACATAGACAGGGTTCACAATGTCATGAGACACCTGGAAATAATGCTACTTTTAACTGAACCAGAAAAACTTGTACATCCAAGTCTGAAATTACAAACATAACATAACAAACATTTAACATTCAAATAATCAAGTCTGAAACATAACACGGAAGTAGCCTTAAAAAGTAAACTATAAACCCAAATAACTACTTCTGAATGTGATGAAAATGACTATTTTTCACTTATTTATAATAGCGGTTTATCAATGGTTAAGTTGCAAAATCATTCATTATAACTCTCTACAGACTTGCCTTCTGCTCACTGATCTCAATATATAGATTATAGATAGTTCATATTAGGGGTGTGCGATATATATCGTCTGCGATAATATCGTAATTGTTGTTTTAACGATGTGCGATTTGACATTATCGAGTATTTTGCAAAAACCATTCAAAACATCCCTACAGAGCGCACGCATACATTACGTGAAGTCTAGACTTATAGATAGTAGATTGTTCATATACTCATAATTACGCTATTTCCCACTTTACTTGAAGGACGCTTGATATAATTGTGATTTCCAGGCTTGGAAAGGTCATTGAAGTTAAAATTTGAGAAGTTAAAGGGGACACTGGATGCCCATTTTTCACAAGTTGGAAATAATTCTTTAGGGTCATCATGAAATGTCTGTAACATACTTTGGTTAAGATTCCTCAATGGTCGTGTAAAATAACACCCTGTTTACATTGTCCAAAACAGTTCACAGCGATTGAACTCGTCTTGAGAGTTCTGATTTTTCCTTGAATTGTTTTGGCGTTAGTGTCAGATGACCTGCGATGAGGCCCGTTTGCAGCGACGTCTGATGCAGTTGAGTTTGTTCGGACGCAGATGTGTGTTTTAAGTTTGAAGCAGCATTAGTGCAGGAATCAGCAGGGAGAGTGTGAGAGTTGTTTTTGAGCACTCGACTGCAGCTGAGATGTTTCAGACCCCAGGTGCAATCACAAGGCGAACATGTGGCGACACTAATGGCTGATGTTATTAGATGAGTGAATGCATGTCTTCTTTTCATTCCCTCATTCTAGTGAAGGCCACCATGCCCATCTGGGTGGTTCTGCTGTCACGGATTATCATGAAAGAGAAGCAAACCACAAAGGTCTGTCTTCATCTAAACACAGTTAGAAATAAGTCATGTATTTACTGAATTCATAATGGCTTAAACAGTCACTGATTGCTTATTGCTTGATTGTTTAATTGCATGTTTGATGAGTTTGGCTCTTTTTTTTGAGCAGGTTTATGTGTCTCTTATACCCATCATTGGAGGTGTTCTGTTGGCCACTGTCACTGAATTGTCCTTTGACGTCTCTGGATTGATCAGCGCTCTGGCAGCGACGCTCTGCTTCTCTTTACAGAACATATTCTCGAAAAAGGTTCATATTTCTATTAGGTGATTTCTGTCAATTAGGAAAAGTCTGGAATGGCTTCTTGTGTGAAATAATTTTTGTGGTTGTTTTAGGTCTTGCGTGACACAAGGATTCACCACCTCCAATTACTAAACATCCTGGGCTTCAATGCACTTATGTTTATGCTGCCCACGTGGATTTTAGTGGACCTCTCATCTTTCCTGATGGATGGAGATCTGGTAAATAGGGTTTTAATGATTTTATATGAATAATATTAATATATAAGAGGATGTTTATCTGTAAATATGTCCAGTTCATATGTTGTACCAAAATCAAAAAAATGTTTTAGATGAAAAATTTTGGCACTGTGACATTGTTTTTGTCCGCCCCACTGTAATATAATGAAATTACAATGGGTTTAGTTTGGACATAATGATTTTGTTTAATGAATAATTTTTATTTGTTTTAAAAATAGCTTAAGTTAAATCCAGTACAACAAGTGTGTGTGTATGTGTGTATATATATATATATATATATATACAGTGGGTACGGAAAGTATTCAGACCCCTTTAAATTTTTCACTCTTTGTTATATTGCAGCCATTTGCTAAAATCATTTAAGTTAATTTTTTTTCCTCATTAATGTACACACAGCACCCCATATTGACGCTGCAATATAACAAAGAGTGAAAAATTTAAGGGGGTCTGAATACTTTACATACCCACTGTATGTATGTGTGTGTGTGTGTATGTGTATGTATATGTGTGTGCACATATACATACATATATACATACATACACACACATATACATACATATATGTATGTATATGTGCACACACACACACACACACACACACGCATACATTTCTAGATGTGTACACACACACACACATACACATATGTGTATTTGTGTGCATGTATATATCTACAAATGTTCTTCATTTTAGTTATCCAAAAGGTCATATCTGCCATTTTAAAATTTATGTTTTTTTCTTTTGCAATAAATTGATCAAAAGTGACAGTAATGACTTTTAAATTCTTACAAATCTCTATTTTTCAAAGAAACTGTGTTCTTTTGAACTTTCTATTCACCAAAGAATCCTGGAAAAGTGTCATGGTTTCCTCAAAAATATTAAGCAGCAAAATGTTTTTTAACTTTAATAATCAGAAATGTTTCTTGAGCAGCAAATCAGCATATTAGAATGATTTCTGAAGGATCATGTGACACTGAAGTAAAGATGCTGAAAATTCAGCTTTGCATCATGGGAATAAATTACATTTTAAAATATATTCAAATAGAAAACAGCTGTTTTAAATTGTAATACTATTTCACAATATTACTGTATTT